AATTATATAATTCTTTTTTTTTTCTAGGTGCACTTCGATTTTTGCGAAAAATTATTGGCCTTAAAGATGAACAGTACAATTTAACAATTGCTCGCAATAATCTTTTTGCACCTATTGTTGATGCATTTAAGGCTAATAAACGACGATATAATTTATTAAATTCAGCTTTAATTGAATTGTTTGAATTTATTCGACATGTAAAGAATATTTTTATTATTTTATTTATTTATACTTTGCTTTTCATTTTAGGAAGATATAAAAATATTAATAAATTATTTTGTTGAAAATTTCTATTCCGATTTTGAAACAATAACTTATGTTAAAACATTTCATGATTTAAAATTACGTTATGATGCACATAGAGATAGACGAGAACGAATGCTTAATGATAAGTAAGTTATATTAAATGGATTATTTTTTTTTTATAAAATCTTGATTATCTAATGGAATGTATTTATGGAATAAATTCTTTTAGATCTTCTATAGAAGGATAATAAACATAATGATTTGTAAATTAGTTTACAACTAACGAAGAAATGTTACCAACTGTTCAATAAATTGAGCATAATGAGTAGTGAGAAAAAGTCTGTTTTTCGCTCATCGAGTTGTAGGCGTTTTATTCGAATCTCCACCCTATGAGCATAGAGTCGTAGAGAACATAAATAATCGAATTTAAAATAAAGAAACACCTGTTTTATGCTGTGTTGTAAAAGAAGGATGTTTATATGGTAAGCTCATATCTCCATACAGATACGTTTGTTCAAACTCCAGCTTTTGAATGACAATAAGATCTATCTATAAACAATAGAGCCCTACGATTCCAATTTCGATTTCTAAAAAGCATCTTTGGAATCGTTGATTTATTTATAGTATATCAAATAACTAATGAAAGTGTTCTTTTTAGAAATTTTTATCTTTCATTTCTCGAACTTGTTGGTATTTATTATTTTATAGAAAAATTAATTTCTTCAAAAGATAAAACAAAAAGAGAAAGAATGTGAAAAGAGTTTGGATGTAGTTGGTGACAATCTCTTCTCCCACATCCGAAATAATTTCAGTTAGCAGTAAAAGATTTTCAGTTCCATTTTATTGGAAGACTCTAATGGATAATCGATTAAATTGTCAGTCTCAAGCCAAAAGTGATTGGACAGTTAGGAACATTCCTTCCTGAGTTATGATTTAACAATTTCGTATCCATTGAAAATATTTGAGCTAATTGGATAGCTGCGGGTCTTTCCAGACCCGAGTTCAAGTTCATATTTTCGTGGGTTCGCAGTTCCCTAGATGGAAAAGTAAACAGCAAGAAATAATTATACATTGACTTTTTTCTAAGAGCAGCCAATAGATATCTAAAACCTTGATCTTTCACTTGTTCGTGTACGCAGAGAGTGTCAGATATTGATGGGGAAAAATTCGGGTCTTGACCCAACTGAGTCCGAGTCTACAAGAACATTAACCTACACCTTCGTAAAACTCATAAGTTTCTAAAATATTTTCAAAACTTCCAAGTTGAATAACCTTTATCTTTCAAATGATATTTTAAAATAAGTGTTTTTCTATTTAATATGATCTATAAAGGGTTAAAAGAGCCGTCTACTAAGTCAAATTTTTTTGTTAATATGTCTTCCATTATTCATTTATAGTAGAAAATTGTACATATTATTTTTGTTTCAGTTCACCGATAGGTTCTTCACGTTTGCATGATAGTCTGAATAATAGTCATTTATTACCAATTCAACATTTTCATCAATCTCAACGTCTTCGAAAAGATGAAAGAGATCTTGATACTGAAGAAGAAAATTGGTTTAATGACGATGGTGATGAAAATAAACTATCATTAATTAATCATGGTACATTATTTAATGGTGGCTCGGATGATGAAGACAGTCAACCAGAAATAAGTGGAAATAATAGTGCAATTTCAACTAATGAACCAATTCGATCTCATCATCTTCTCGTAGATAATGACGATGATGGATTGCCAATGGCATCTACCGAAAAAAAATCAAGTAAGAAACAAAAAAAAAAAAATTTTTTTTTCGAAATTATTAAAAACAAAAAAACCGATAATTCTTTATTCTATTTTAGGATCATCACGTTCCCAGTATAATAAACCAGTAATCAGTATTCATATTCGACGTTCACCAATATCTTCTGTTGGTCAATTACCTCCATTATCATCATCATCATCTGTAAGTTCTGAAAATGAATCAACAGCACTTCGAGTTGATATTCCTTCATCTACAACAAATGGTTCTCCAACTTCATCATCACCTCGACAAATTGAACCAACATCTACATTTAATATGGTAAAAAAAATAATAATGAATGATTGGAAAGTTTTTCGACAAGATGTTTGTTTACTTTTAACTCGCTAGAAAGTATTTTTGGCGAGTCAAAAGTAAACAAACATCTTGTCAAAAAACTTTCCGATCATTTGTTAATAATTCACCAAAAAGAGAAAGTGAAATGTATTCTTTCGATATTTTTAGAGTCCTGGTTTATCGAGTATTGCCGATCAGTATAATGATGATGAAAATGAACAAGAAGAAGAAATTGAATTTGATGTATCTATAAAATCAAATCAATCTAATGAAATTAGTAGTAACAGTGATTCATGTACATCCACAACACGTAAACGTAAAATTGACGAAGATGATGATGATGATGATAATAATAATAATAATGAACAATATCCTTCATCAATATCGAATGATAATAATACATCTTTATCAAATGATAATAATATTGAACAAAACAAAGTATTTAAACGAAGTAATGATGAATTAACAAAGTGAATTTATTTTCATTGTTCTTCACAACTCAGGTGTCGTTTCAAAATCCCATACACACACACAAATTAAAAGACTTAACGAGATATAATAAAATAAAAAAAAAGAAAATTTTTTGTCCCTTATTGTCCGAGCAAACATTAGTTGATGATATCTGTGTGTACGTGCGTATACTTGAACACGATATGTTTCTTCTTCATGTTCTGTTTTTTTTTGTTTTGTGCCCCTTTTTTTTTTTGTTTTTCCCTTTATTCAATCTATCTATTTATGTATATGTACGTATCATCGTCACTTCTGTTTGATTTTCTTTTCTTTTGTTTCTGTCAATCTCGGATGATAGAAGAAAAAAAACAAAAGAGATTTGTGAGTTCAGATTCATTTTTTTGTTTTCGTGCGTGTACGTCTATTTCTATGTGTGTACAGATTGAAAGATATCTAAAAAAAAGACACGAGTCGTTATTTTATTGCATGTAGTTGTACTTGTTGGCTCTACTTTCTTCTTTTGTTGTTGTTGATGTTGTTGTCATCTTTGTTTCTCTCTTTCTCTCTCTCTCTCTCTCTCTGTCTATTACTTTCGCATTTTTTGCTTACATGCATTGAAAACAAATCTTGTAAGAATTTTATAAAAACTATATAAACGAAAAGATGATGAAACTATAAATATAAGCATTTTTATTAAATGCAAACAAAAGTAGTATAAAAAAAAAGATTCGGATCTCGGTTTCAGATCATGTCGCTTTTGCGAACAATTACCATTGGTCTCACCGGTGCCGCAGGCATCTATGGTGGTTTAGTGCTCTATCGGTACGTTTATTACCTAATGTTCTAGAATTCTTCATTAATTTTCTTCTAATTATAAGAGAATATTTTGTCAAAGCACAATATAAAGGCAATGAACAATTATTTGGTAAGACAGCTATTGTTACAGGTGCTAATACAGGTATAGGAAGAGAAGTAGTACATGATTTTGCTCGACGAGGTATGAATACTAATTAAAAAAAAAGAAATAATTAAAATTCAAGTATTGTTGTTGGTTTTTTTTTCTATTGTATTCAGGTGCTCGTGTCATAATGGCTTGTCGTGATATGAAAAAATGTGAAGAAACACGAGAGAAAATTATTGCTGATTCATTTAATACTAATATTGTTTGTCGTGAATGTGATTTAGCATCAATTGAATCAATAAAACGTTTTGCTGATGATATAAATCAAAATGAAAAATATGTTCATTTATTAATAAATAATGCTGGTGTTATGTGGCATCCATTAAAATTAACTAAGGATGGTTTTGAACAACATTTAGGCGTTAACTATCTCGGTGTGAGTTGAATATAAAACAATCAAAAACAATTTTTGAAATAAAAATTTTTTTTTATTTTTAGGTCATTTTCTTTTAACTAATTTATTAATAGAAAAATTAAAAAAATGTTCACCAAGTCGAATAATTAATGTCACATCATCAATGTATAAACGTGGACAAATTGATTTTGATGATTTAAATATGTCAAAAAAACAATTTAATCCAAAAATAGCTTATGAACAAGCTTCACTTTCTATTGTTTTATCTACACAAGAATTTTGTCGACAATATTCAGGTTTAATCAAAAATAAAAATCATATGAATTCAAAATTTCTTCTTTTTTTTTTTTGTTTTATATTAGGTTCTGGTGTGATAGCTAATTGTGTTAATCCTGGAATAACTCGAACTGACATAGCACGTCATACAGTCGATAAATCATTTATAAGTCGAATTATAATCGGTCCTTTATTAAAAGCATTTATGAAAACGCCAATGCAAGGTGCACAAGCTATACTACAATGTGCTCTTGATCCAAAACTTGATGGTCAATGTGGAAAATATTTTAGGTATTGATTAATAGATTATGAATATATAAAGAATTTTTTTTGTCTTAAAATTTTTTAGTAATATGAAAGAAGAACCAGTTGTACCAAATGCTACTAATGAAAAAGAAGCTAAACGTTTATGGTTGATTAGTGAACGATGGACACGTTTAACTAAATAAAAGAAAAATATTGTGTCTTGTTTTCCTTGTTGTTGTTGTTCTATTTACTAAAAAACATATTTGAAAATGAGTTTTTTTCTTTTTTCATATTTTAAGATGATCTGTACTTAGGCGCCATTTGTTTTAGTAACAATAACAAAATCAGTTAGTTAATCTATATATTTGTAAAATAATAATCATAACATATGAGAACTACATCGGTATCACAACAAGGGGGTGATAATAATGATACAGAAAAAGTTAAGAAATCAATTGTTATTCGATCATTTCTTGTTAAATATATTTATCAACCAGAATATATCTGGTATTCTATTGGTGTCATTGTTCGAATTCTTTGGACGTTAATTTTTTCACAAAAAGGCTATATTCATCCAGTAAGAAAGATTATATTCATATAAAATATTCACAGAATTTTTCTTCTAGGATGAATTTTTTCAAGGTCCAGAAATCGTTTTTGGTATGTGTCAATGAATATGTCTTTAAACTTGATGATATTGATTACTAGAATAGAAAAAGATGATTAAGACAATTTTTTCTATACGAGTTTGTTTGAATACTTAGCAACAAACATCTTTCAATGTTCGACATAATTTGACTCGTAATCAATTGTCTTTTTTCTTAAAAATCACTTATTCCTATATATGAGTGGAACTAGTCTCGGTCTTTATCCCGCTGGAATCGGAACACAGTGGGCATTCTTCCATAGATCAGACGGATGTGATTTTTTAACTTAGAAATATCTTATTTTCTATTCAATTATTGCTTTATCATCTCTCAAATATCAATATAATTCAGAAAAAGTCAAATTCGAAAAAAACAAAATTCGTTTTACTGAGAAATCACTGTGAGAGAAATCTTTACTACGTATATACGTGGAATCATTTTTTATAAGAAGATAAACACATTGTACATCATTCGATGTAGTTTTTGATGCTGATTCCAAATATGAATTTAGTCCTCAACAAAAAAAAAAAAACTTCCTGTGCCGAGAAAAATGAGTTTTACCTAGAAAACACTTAGCTCAATCCTGCAAGGTTCACTGTATATAGGTGTTATGGATTGAGGAGCATTCTCTAGAAGTTTCGTTCATTTTAGAGTTACGCAAGCTCATTATACTGAATACATGTTTCCGTAAAAGCATTCAATCTTAGAGAAAAATACCTTTTTTCGAATTTCAAAACGATAAAACCGAAAGTCTTTTATACGAATCGATAGACTGAAAGACACAGTATTAGATTATATATAGTTTTCTCAAGAATCTTTTCTTCTTATTGTTTTTTTTGTTTACAATAAAAAAAAGCGTCTAATCTTTACTAGCAGAGTTTTTCGATTAATGCTAACAAGAAGAGCAAAGACTTTTATGTCGTTAAAAAACTCATACGTCAGAGTATAGACTGCTCTAGTTAAGCTATTAAAAAGTACACTTTTAATTTTCCACCTAATGTTCATCAGAGCCCCCACAGTGCGATGCATGACCAGAACAATCTTCTCCATATCGAGAGTGTGAGCGTGTCTATTGTTTTCTTTGAGTTAACATTTTAATAAATTATGAGATTTTCAAATTCATATGAAATATGATTTAAAAATTTTTTTCATATTAATCTCTAATAAATTTCATTATCATATGGTAAAAAATCACAATGAAGCATTCAAAGTTTTATTTTGTCATTGAAATTTTTAATATTTAGTTTATTTTGATTGACAAAAAAAAAACAAGCCTTTTCTAATTGTTTCCATTAGACGATATATTTCGAACTAATTTAACACGAACTCATGAATTTAATTCAAAAGCACCACTTCGTTCAGTAGCTATTCTTTATTTACTCTATGGTCTTCCTGTATCAATTCTTTCATGGCTATCATCTATTTTTCATTGGTCTTCAATACCATTTCATCTTAAACTAGTTTTTCCACGCTCTACAATACTTTTATTATCATTATGTACAGATATTCTTTTTTATCGTATGATTAAATTATCTTATCCAAATTTAAATTCTAAACAATATGGAATAATAATGAATTATTATGGTATAGCACATGTAACACTTGTTTTTTTTACACGTACATTATCAAATTCATTTGAAGCTTTTCTTTTTCTTGCTCTTATTTATTTTGTTAATATAAATATTTCATTATTATTATCAATTATTATTGATTCATCAAATGAATTTAGATCTCATAATGATTCAAATCAAAATATAGTACAATCAAAATATCAATCAATTCATATTAATTTTCATATTATTTTAACTTCATCATTAATTGGTTTAATTTGTGCTTTAGGTATTTTTAATCGTCCAACATTTCCAGCTTTTGCTATTGTTCCAATTATTTATTGGTTTACAAATATAGTTCCATTACTTAATCATTCATTTCGTTATCAGTTATTATTAAGTCGTATAATAGGATTTATTATTGGAACATTTATTATAACATCATGTTTACTTATATTTTTTGATTCATATTATTATAATAATGGATTTTCATTTATTATGGATTTAAAAAATCATCTTATTATTTGTCCATTAAATTTTATTTTATATAATACTGATTCAAATAATTTAGATCAACATGGTTTACACCCATGTTGGCTTCATTTTATTGTTAATGCAATAATTTTATATGGTCCACTTCATTTATGTATTGTTTTATGGAGTCTATTTCATATATTAAACATTAAACAATATGGACAATCCATGATTGATCGAATTTTAAAAGTTTTTCATAAAAAATCTATAACAACTAGACAATCAGGTATCATGAAAAAAAATCTATGGTTGATGATGAGAATCAACTAATGAGGAAACTCTTCCTACTGATAAATCGATTTTTGGATCGAGACTAAAGATGTGCGAAACTACAAAAAAACATTTTCAGAACCGAAACTCAAGCTTATCGTAAAATATTCTATAGTTTTAAGCAAATTATTTTATACATCATCGATCAAAACATAGTTCAAGAGAGATGACCTAGAAAAGTTCTAGTCGTCGACTAAATGAATAAAAAAAAAAAGGAAGCGAATATTGAAGAATTATGTTAGATGTGATACAAATAAATTCTAAAATAGTTTTCTCTAGACCGGAACCGGCAGATCAAAAAAACTTGATTCCCCACTAGAGCTCATCCGGTAGGGCACGAACCCCAAACCGATCGGGCCCGATGGGCTCTACCCTACACATTTCTCAAACAATTTGTCTGAGAAATATGTAGGATGCACTAATCATCGAGTACAAAAAATCCGGAAAAAAGTGTCTCGTATCTTCGTGGTGACTATCATATTCTGATTAGAGAAGTTCATTGAAAGTATCAAAGCATAGTTCGATCGGGTTCGAAAATTTTGGATCCAACGAGCTCTATTCCGCACATCTGTAGTTAAGACTAGTTGAATTATGTAGGCTCAAATGAGCTATGAATACCCTGAAAAGAATTCATGTCCTTAGTCGATTTGCTGTGGAGATCCTGCATTTTTATGATATTTTTAAAATGAATGCCATAGTCGCCCTCAAGGACATTAGGAAAACTAATTTTCGAATTGCAGCTTGAAACTTCGCATAGAGACAGGTGTAAACAAGAGTAGTTTCAGATGTTTTGATTTGTTTCTATCCTGAAATAAGAATATCAGATTTGTTGATTTATATGAACGATATAAACGACACGCTATTACCATAGTTGTATCTTAGGATAGGAACAGTGCTAAGATCTGAAATATTAAAGAAAAACAATATTTCTATGCAAAGTTTCACAATAAGCTAATGATAGAAGCTCTTTTCAGAATATTAATAGCTCATTTGGAGTCTATGTAATGCACACAGTCTCGACTCAAAAGCAATTTCTCTTGTAAATTCTTTTATCTATTTCAAAAATATTGAATGAATTAAATTTTTAATTTTAGAACAATCCACCTCACCATTTCTACTATGTCTTTATTTGGTACCATTTTTTCCATTATCAACATTTCCTCATCAAGAACCTCGATTTCTTCTTCCACTTATTTTTCCATTAATACTTTTTATCGTACCTCTACTAATCATACAAAATCTTCATACATATATGTTTCGTGTATGGTTTGCATTTAATATCTTCATAACAATAATCTATGGTCATCTACATCAAGGTGGTCTTTTGCCTGCTTTACAATATATTCATGATTGTCCCATATTATCATCTAATGGAATATCTATTGTAAATGATATGAATAAAAAATTTCTTATTACTTATCATACATATATGCCACCGGGTTATTTAGTTACATCAATGTCAAAATCAGAATATGAACAAAAACTACAAACAATAATAATTGATCTTAAAGGTGGAAAGCATGAAGAACTTGATTTAACAATTGAACATTTATTTAATGAATATCCAATGAGTAATATTCAAATATTCGTATTACTTCCGAATATTACTCAAACTCATCTAACTAATTTAAAACAACAAAAATATCCTTTTCAACTTTTAAAACAATTTGAACCTCATCTAGATTTAGATCATGGCTTTGATGAACTATTTCATATTAAATATGAATGGATACATACAATACGGAATAAATATAAACTTGATTTATATCAAATAACACAAAAATTCTAAATAATTTAAATTTTTGTATTATAATCTGTTTGATTTCGTTTCTTTCGAAAACGAATTTATCTTTTTGTTATTATTAGATTAAAAAATAAAGATTTTTATGCTCTGTTAGTTGATTAGATTTGAATCAGTTTGTTTGATATAAACGGTTTAATTGAATTAAATATATAAATTTTCAAATCAAACACTCTCGAATATGGATGATTCATTTTTTCAGTAAAACGGATGAAAGAAAAGAAGTAAAGAAAAGAATTTTCAGGAAATGTTCATTTTACAACCATTTCCCTTTACGATCGATATTCAAAAACATGAAAGTTTTCCATTACATAGCATATATGTAAGCTTACACTAATAAAAAGAAAAAAAAAACTTCTTTGAGGTTTCTTCTTGCGGCAATAGTGTCTCGTTTACTAGTTGATCAATAGATGAAGTCGATCAAACTATGCTTCCTCTTTCCCCTCCTCTGATTCTCTCATACTAAGCGAGAGGGAGAGAGAGAGAGAGAGAGAGAGAGAGAAGAGTGAATAAACACTGCTTTCAACTACTATTCGATTAGAACAAACATACTAGCAGACAGGTAGTAGGTACTATGGCCATCAACCGCCATAGGGAACGTGTTCTTTCTTTTTCTCTCTCTCTTTCTCTGTCTCCTTCTCTATGCAACTTATAATTGTTAATATTCTTATCTAAACAGTGCCGCTTACAATTTTTTTTTGCTAAGCATACGCTTGTCGAATGATTTTACAAGTGGCAGCATTTTTAATTCGTTGTCATTGTATGGTCTCAAATCTCGTTTTTTTTTCTTCTTTTCTCTCTCTCCCTCTCTCTCTTTGTCTATTCAAACTAACGCAATCGGATCAATATGTAAAGAGAGCAAGCGAAATAAATCGAGTGAGCGTATTATTAGTATCGCTCGAATGAGTCTTTGTCAACAAATATATATATATTTCACTGTGCAAATTCAAGTAGGGAAAGAGAGAGAGAGAGAATTGTACATATATACACATGGTATATATATATACTTCGAGATTGTGAGGGTTCCTTACGCACAAATCCATATGAAATAAACCCGTTGTGTCGTATTTTGCGTAGGCGTTCTTGCAAGGATAGACACGCTCTCTCGTGTAGAGAATTTCCTTGTATAACGCACTATGCAAGTACCACTCGGATTATTCATCGTAATAATAATTGTAAGTATATATTTATAAAAATTATTTAAAATAAAATTTTAATTGTCTAATTGATCTACTATTATTTATTATTTGAAAACAATGGAATATTTCAGAATTACTATAGTCATAATTATATTCTTTATTTGATTGATCAATATTTATTTCATTTACAATATCTCGAAGTAAATAATATCGTTCATTAAATTGTTTCATTATTAACTCAATGACTTTTTTTTATTTAGCCACTGGATGATATTGGTTTTTTCTTGGTTTACCATAATAAATTTGTCGTAATTTCATTCTTCTATTTTTATCTTTTAGTTCAACAAATAAATCATTTCTAGATTGTGATATTCATGTAAATCATTAACTATTTGATAAATACTCAAATATTTATATAATTTAACACAACCTGATTGATGATTAATATATCGTCAATAAATATAAAATCAAATCAAATGGTGTATCATATGAAAATATCCAATATATAAATATAAAAACCATTCACATATTCTATGAAGAAATTTCTTCGATATGAGCCATATTTAAAGATATATTTGTTGGTAAAACTGTCATGGTTATACTGAGTGCAAAACAGAAAAAAGAAAAACGTCTTTATTGTTATGCATCATTAGTTATAGACATTGATACAAAGAAAAATCCGTTATGAGAAAAAACAAGCTATTTTTAATGATTAAATAATCACCTTGAATGTATATAGATGAAATAAAATGTATATAAAATTATCAATATTTTTCTAAATAAAATTTTATATGAAATTTTTTATTTGAATTAGTAATAGGAATATATTCGCTGAAAAAAAATGCCTTTAATGATTTAATGCAACATAAAAACTATTGATAGTTAAGATCATGATAAAGTACTCAGACAAGTATGCATGTCAAGTTTTGTACAGCTATTTTCTTTTTCTTTTTTGGCATGATAATCTTTTTGTCAACAATTGTTAAACTCAAGTATTAAATCATTATTGAGCATGTAATCTTAGTTATCTTTTTTTTTCTAAATAGTACTCATCAGTACAAATTTAAACTAATTTTAATGTCGAAGAAGTTCAAAAATATATTGACGTGAAAATAAAAATGAAAACTTAAGGACAACTTGCCCACCTTTTGTGATCGAAAATTTTTGTGTTCATTGTATAGTCTGAAGTAGTTTCTATCTATTGACTATATTTTGAGGTTCAAATATTATCTTTAAACGTTAAAAGGTTCGAGAAGAAATCAAATTTACGTAATAGAAATAGTAAATTGCGTTCCTCTCAAACCAACTTTTTATTTCTATGAAAAAAAGTGCAGAAACGCTCTCAGTTTCTCCAGCCTGTTAAATTGGATGGTAGCTCTTACAAAAAAAACATACATTTTTTAGAGTACCTTCGATATTTTCGCTTTCTTATTCGAAGGACAAAAAATAAAAGGATATCTACTTCAAACAGTGTCAAGTGTCTGTAAAAAAAAAAATTCTGCTCGATCGAACATAGCATCTCGAAGAAACGTGCGGGACCACAGACAGAATTGATTTTAATAAAATAATATTCCGAGATTGCCAGGATTGGGAGGGGTAAGATTGATGATCAAGGAAGCCGATTGGAAGATTTTATGAAGGGTGACCGGTTTTGGAGAGAGGAGTTTGAACGTTCTTTTTGGGAATCGCTGAACCAAAAAAAAAAGCTGTTAGCGCAATCCCTTGCGGGATTAAAAATGTGAAACACGATGGACCTATTGTTACTAATAAAATGGAAATCTTTTTGTTGCATTTCCTTACGATACATTTGTAGCTGACCGTATATCTGATGCTTTATAACTACAATTTCTGTGTCACGGTCTGCGATGGGTACTCGGGTTCTCTGTCACGGTCTGTGATGGGTACCCGGGTTCTCTGTCACGGTCTGCGATGGGTACCTAGAGTTCTCTGTCACGGTCTGTGATGGGTACCCAGGGTTCTCTGTCACGGTCTGTGATGGGTACCCGGATTCTCTCTCACGGTCTGTGATGGGTACCCGGGTTCTCTGTCACGGTCTGCGATGGGTACCTAGAGTTCTCTGTCACGGTCTGTGATGGGTACCCAGGGTTCTCTGTCACGGTCTGTGATGGATACCCGGATTCTCTGTCACGGTCTGTGATGGATACCCGGATTCTCTGTCACGGTCTGTGATGGGTACCCAGGGTTCTCTGTCACGGTCTGTGATGGGTATCCGGGTTTTCTGTCACGGTCTGTGATGGGTACTCGGGTTCTCTGTCACGGCCTGTGATGGGCACCCGGGTTTCCTGTCACGGTCTGTGATGGGTACCCAGGGTTCTCTGTCACGGTCTGTGATGGGTACCCACGGTTCTCTGCCACGGTCTGTGATGGGTCCGGAGGTTCTCTGTCACGGTCTGTGATGGGTACCCGAATTCTCTGTCACGGTCTGTGATGGGTCCGGAGGTTCTCTGTCACGGTCTGTGATGGGTACCCGAATTCTCTGTCACGGTCTGTGGTGGGTACCCACGGTTCTCTGTCACGGTCTGTGATGAGTTCGGAGGTTCTCTGTCACGGTCTGTGATGGGTATGGATTTTCTCTGTCACGGTCTGTGGGGGGGGAGGGGGGGGTGGGTCCAAAATTTCTACCCTATACACTTCAACACTCCTTTCAGATCGTGTTTCACAAAATAATAGAACGCTCGAAAAAAAGAAAAATTTTTCTAGATTGAGAATGTCACCCCTTCCACTCGGTACACCGCTGCTTTAACAGATATCAACAGCAGAGCTGTCTGATTAAAAGCTTAAAAATTAGAAAGAGCAATTGATTGCAGACGAATAACTATTATGTTAATATGTTGACAACGAATGGTCTACTGGATTTCTGTTTATTGACTTAAATTTTATTTTCAAAAGTATTTCACTATAAAGAAAGACAGTACAGTTAATATATTGTTTAGATAATATAAAAACACTTAGTATCGGACTCGTTTGCTAAATGCAAAATTCATTCGCACAAAAAAAAAAAAATACAAAAACAAATCACACTATTACTATATAGATTAAGACATCCTACGAAAGAAAAAAATTAAGATTTCATCATATCAATTCGATATTATTGTTCATATTTTCCATTTTTTTTTTCTAATATGCTTTATCAAGGATGGATGCGGATGAAGGGAAGATCCACACCTTAATGAAGCTGTGATCTAAAAAAAGTTCAGAATTTGGAAAAACAATCCGAAGGTCAGAGAGTAATCAGAAATAAAGATGTAAGGCGATGGATTTTAGTTTGGGACATTGGAAATTTTTCAAAATCAAATATCTATTTTGTCATGTTATAGTGGCATCTCAACCGAAGGCTTACATCTCCAATCAGAAAAATGTTCAAATTTCAGATAATTTTCAGAAGATCTGACAACTCTGATCAACAATTAGATTTATTCATCGTAAATGTAGTTAAAGAGTAAAATTCAGAAACTTTTGTTTTCTATGCTTTATTTATACTTGGTATAAAAACGAAATATAGAACATTTAGTCCGATAAAACAATTGAAACTGAAACTATAAATAAAAAACATACACATAAAAGTGTCTAACGATGATTCAAATGCATATCGGTTTCCTTTAAAATTAGCGCACATGGAGATCAATTTAGTTTTACTAAGCCATTTTGATATTGATCCAGATTTTCCTGTTGAAAACAAAAAGTAGAAGTTGTTTCTCTCTCACTTTATTCTAAAATTTGTAAGATTATACAAATTATCCAGCACTTCTATCGTTGTATTCAGATACATAAAGACTATCTTTTTTTTTTCAAAAAAAAAGCTCATATCGTTTGAGCATAACTTTGATAAATCTAAACGAAATTTCTAATGATAAGAAAAGAAAAAGCGACCTCTTTAGAATTAATTACTTCGATTGGCTGTCAATAAACAATCATGTAGCTATTCGTATGTGTCAGTGAGTTTTTTCCAAACGAAAAATCAAACAAAAAATCGTTTGATGTACTTTATATTTTCTAATTTAACAATTTAAATTATCTTATATCGTTTAGGTTATTTTATTCAAGCATATAATTATTTATTAATAACTAATAATTGATGGGCTTATAATGGTAACATAATATATTCAAAAGACATATTCTTTAATAAAAAAAAAGTGTCAAGCTCGTATTGAATATGTTGATCAGAATGGTATAATTAAGCCATGATATACGAAGTTGATCATGACATATCAAACTATATCAATGAGTAAATGATTCAGCTGAAAATGAAGTAATAATTCTTGGTTAGTAGACTACATATATATTTGTTTTATAATTATAAATTTATCGTTTAGATATTTGTGTCAAGGATACTCTTATTGAGAGAACAATACCTATGATATTTATTATATTATTATGATTCATTTGATAATGTATTCATAATTATAATTACATGATTCAGATCTTATTAGTAAGTAATCAATATTTCTTTCTCAATATCAACAAATAACAAAAAAAATCTATAGATCATTTAAATTTCATTACTATATAAGACAAGTATTATTTGATAGAGATACAAAGAAAATAAATAAATTATTAAATTGATTCATTAACTATTCCCTATTAAATATTAGATAGATTAAATTAGCTTACTATATTATACTGGAATTAAGTTTTAATAAATTTTTATGGAAATTTTCCACTTAAAAAAGATAACATGTTAAGGACAATTTTCTTTGTTTCTATTCATTCTTTTCATAAACTAACGAAATTTTCCTACTCTTTGAGTATGAGCATCAAGATGAACTTTAACTAAAAAATTAAAAGTGTACTTTGTAATAATTTAAATCGGTCAGTATATACTCTGATCTATTTAATAATATAAAAACCTTTGTTTGTCTTTTTTTAACCGTGAACAAAATAAGGAGAAAATATCTTGGTATTCGAAAATCATATTGGAAATCAACATTGAAAACTACAGCGAAGGATGTATAATGTATTAGTGTTTTTTTTGTAAAAAAGTTTATTCCACGTATATGTAGAGTAAGGATTTTTGATTTTTCGAATTTGACTTATTCAGATTATATTGATATTTGAGAGATGATAAAGCAATATTGAGTAGAAAATAAAGTCTTTCGAAGTTAAAAAAAGAATTACATATCCATCTGATTTAGGAAAAAATATTCGCTATGTTCTGAGTATTATATTTAACTTCATGATTGTGATTTCATCTACATAATCATTAGCTTAGAATTATTGACAATTATTTTAATCGAAAATATATTTTGATATTACTAAAATAAAGCAATCAATATAATATGATAGATCTAGGAGTGTAAAATATTCAATTTATACAAACATGATTGTTAAAATAATCGTACGCAACGTTTTATAAGTATATATACACATTCTATAGTCTTTGTCTTAGATGAACCAATCTTTTCATCATTTTTTTTTGTGATTTTCTACAGAATAATGAAATTTCTAGTAGAATGTAGTTCAGATTTTATAGATATGATCTATTGTTATTACCTCATTGCATTTATAAAATATTTTTATTTTGACACTAGAATCAAATAAAACTATTGAATAATTCAGTTCAATGAGGAAATATCATTGTATGTATTTTATTATATTGATCAATGTGGTCATCATTTTTTCATGACGACTTGTCCTATATTTGGATGATAGGTGTAAAAGAGTATATATTGTAAGTGACGAAGTAATTCAGTGAAAGTTAATGAAGCGTACTATAGATATCGACAATGACGTTGAATAATAAAAAAGAACGTCACTCTCAATGGACAACTAAGCGTTGACATTCATTTTATTTAAAAAGAAATTCTTTTTTATTCATTTATTTTTTTTAAGTACTTAATATTGTTGAGTAATGTTGCTTTTATTTTCATTGGGAAGCAACTAATCAGGATATTGACATTTATTACCAATCAAACAAATAAGAAAAAAAAAATGAATAATTTATTATTAAACTTTATATCATAAATAAAATATCAAAAAAAAAGTTTTGTTTCATTTTTCAGATAGATATGTCTCAAATTGTCTCATTACGTGCATTACGTCCAAATTCAACTATTACTAATGCATTGCGAAGGACAAGTTCTGCACATCGACTATGTCAATATTCAACTTTCTCAACATCATCTAATCAAATTTCAATTGTAGAAAAGAATAAATCTTTAAAACGAGTAAGAATAAATCTAATATTTATTATAAACTTTAAATATAGAGAAATAATGTTCTACTTTATTTTCTTACGTCCTCAAAAATCACTCTTCGGTTTCTTACATTCAAATCATTTGAAATTCTCAGTTCTATATCATGATGGAATGTGCAATTAGAAAAACGATGTGCCAAATAAAATTGTGAAAGATCTAATATCAATCTATCTTTTCATGCATTCATATTAATTTCGATTAATCTGCTAGAAATGAACTTTTTTTCGAGAAGTGGCGAGAATCTTGATCCAATTGTTATCTTTTCTCTAGACTCACTCTGTTCATACAATGCCTATCAATTCTTCTTCTCATGCTTCAGTTTATGCATTTACTCATCATCTTCATACAAGCCCAGAATATTGTATATAATAATTTTTTTATTGAATTTGAATCATATCATGTATCTTTTTTTTTTATAATTAGTTGACTTGATTGATGTATGGACACCATCAGTTCCTGAATCAGTCAAAGAAGGTACTGTTCGATTATTAAAAAAAGTTGAAGATAAAGTATTTACTGATGAAATAATAGCTGAAGTTGAAACAGACAAAAAAACTTTTAATGGTGATGATATTACATCCGATGCTCAAATAGCCAAACTTAATACAAGTGATGATGTAAAACTAGTATCAGGTTTGTTTCTTTAATAAATAAATAAATAAAAAATAATTCGTTATAATTTTTCTAATAGAAAATAAAAAAGATGAATCGATAGATAAAGTCAATACTGAACAAACAAAAGAACAATTATCTACGAGTTCAATTTCATCTAAACCAACACATAAATTAACTACATCAACTAAACAACAAGTTAGTGCAATTGATACAAATAAAATTCGTAATACACGATCAGAAACACGTGTAAAAATGTCAAGAATGCGTATAAGAATAGCTGAACGTCTTAAACAAGTACAAAATACATGTGCAATGTTAACGACTTTTAATGAAATTAATATGAGGTTAAACAAAAGATCTATTTAGAATTGATGTCTATGATTATTCTTTTTCTTTTTTTTAGTAATATTGTTGAATTTCGTAAAAAATATGCTGATCAATGTCTAAAACGTCATAACATTAAATTAGAATTTATGTCAACATTTGTTAAAGCATCTGCATGTGCTCTTTTAGATAATCCTATTGTTAATGCAGGTAATAAATAATGTATTATAAACTATTTCATAACCACCTTTTTTTTTAAAGCTATTGATGGAAATGAAATAGTCTATCGTGATTATGTTGATATTAGTGTTGCTGTTGCTACACCAAAGGTGATTTATTAAAATGAAAGCAAAAAGAAAAACAAACAAATAGTCCTTTACTTTAGGGTTTAGTTGTACCTGTTCTTCGAAATGTCGAAAAAATGAATTATGCTGATATTGAACATGCAATCAATGAATTTGGTGAAAAAGTAAAATATAAAGTTTTTGAAATATATATATTTTTTTTATTTCTATAGGCAAAAAATGATTCACTTACTATTGATGATATGAATGGTGGAACATTTACAATAAGGTAAACATTTTTTTTTCTTCCTTTAAACTAAGGAGCTATTGTGACTGATTTTTTTTAACGGGAATTTATTGGTTCTTTCTAAAGCTTTAATTCCTCAATAGATCTATTCGAGATACATATAACTTCCTAATAACATGAATTAGTTCTTCAGCGGATCGATCCATATTGCTAATTACCAATTCTAAAATTTTTACAACTAACTAACGACTAGAATTTGGTGCTTCCAAAACAAACTGGAATCGATTTTTTTAAAATTTCTTGAAATCGGAACCGTTAAATCATCAGATACATCATTCAATACAATCAGTCAATACTATATAGTAATTTGTATAATCGTCTATACCACATTCTCGAAAGAGCTTCGAGTCGACAGTAAAGAGAGTTTAATAATCCAAACTATAAAAATAGTTAGTAGATACAAAAAAAAGAGATAATCTATTCTGTCAGTCAACTCATTTATAGTGTTGTTCAAATGTATTGAAAGACGTATATTCTTCATCGAATCAAATTGTCATCAATCATATGTTGTACTACAATGAAATACTTAAGTCATCGTTGTAACTAATATTCATTTGAGATTAGAGAAATCGTATACGAAAAGAATTTTTCATAAGGTGTAAATTTAAAAGTTTCATATCTACCTTTTGATTCCACGTAATTTTTGAAATCGTCGAACAACATCGGATGGCTCAATGGTTATAGTAGTGTCCTGTAGAAACGACTTTTTTCTATTCTTATTCTCGTAACACTTTCAGAATTCATATTATAATTTTATTTTTCACCATGTGAAATTGCCTTGAATTGAAAATAAAATTATCCTTGGAAGTACATTTTAGTAAAATAAATCAATTATTATTTTAAGAGGATAAGAAATAATTGGCAACTTCAGTTGCCGTTGGGGAGTAATAACATAAAAGATTCTATTTTTTCTATCATTTGTGAATAGAATATGGATGTGTTGAAGTGAAGATCTTTCGACCTTACAACTATACACACGCACCAACAACAAATGGTGCTTATATTTATGAATAAGGGCAATCTACTTACTTATCTATGCGTAAATGTTAACAAGTATTATGTTTAGATGAGAATGTCTAAAAATATTTTTTTCATGTTATTACCCCTCAATGGCAACTCTAGTTGCCATTTTATATCATACAGTCTCTTGTTCGACTAATTCATATGAAACTTCTGAAACACAAAGGCAATTTTCATTGATATTTATCACATCGTATATCATCAAGATATATATTTTTTCGTTGATAAATAAGTCATTAAAAGAAAAGATGTTCTTTTTTTTTTGATTTATAATGATCTCATACTTGTCTCTGTTGTAAGTCGTATAAGTTGGAGACAGATCAATGATACAAAATTTTTTTTTTGTGCCAATTAGTAACTGAGAGAATTCTCTACACATAATGTGCAAGGAATTTTTTAATATCCCGCATTCTACATTTTCTGCAATGTTTCTAAAAATGGCAATTCCAATTGTCAATGGGGAGTAAAAGGTTAATAAGCGATGTAAAAGTCATTGGAAAGAATATTGAAATTTATTTCTCAATAGTAAAACATTCGGATTGGCTTCGACATTTTTTTTGTTGTTTAAAAAAGCAAAATTTGAAAAGTATATACACATAAAACAAAACAAATTTTGAGAATGTCAATTTTTTTTTAATATCGTTTCCGTTCTTGTGTTCCGGCGGGAAACGGAAACAAAAGCTGTTCCCGCAGGACACTAAGTTACATCAATGACTAGTAATAGATATGAGAATTTATTTAAAAAATAAGTCCAAGAAGTTACTATTTAAATTATTTTAATAAAAATTTTGTTATAGTAATGGAGGAGTATTTGGTACACCAATTATCAATCCACCACAGTCAGCTATTCTTGGTATGTATGGAATATTCGATCGACCTGTCGTTGTTAATGGCAAAGTATGTGACATTTATATGAGTTTATTTTTTATTGTTTGTTTCTTTTTTCTGTTAGATGGAAATTCGTCCAATGATGTATGTAGCACTTACATATGATCATCGTATTCTAGATAGTCGTGATGCTGTTCTATTTCTTCAAAAAATTAAGCAATATATAGAAGATTCTCGTACTATTTTTCTTGATTTATAAAGGTCTCATATCTATTTATTTTATTCTATTCATAATCTTGTTGTTTTATTGTCAAGTCTTTCAAGTCTATTGTGATACATTCTATGTTTTAATTTTCTTTTTTCGTTTTTTTTATGAATTTTATTTTTATACAAGAAAACAAAAGGTTACACAGGATAGTCTTCTTTGTCTTTGTTTTGCTTTTCTTTTTAATGGTTAATCGAAGGTGTATGAGAGAAGAAAGAAAAAAAAAAGAAAATGAGAAGACAGTGTAATGTGAGATAGATAGAATGTTTGTGGTCATTGATTGGATTTTGCATTTGAGCGGACATTCATTCGATTGCCTTGAAGCGTGCAGTAAAGCATACATACAATTGATGTGATTTCATCTTCTTTCTATCGTTCTCTTTCTTTTTTTTTTCTTTTGTGGTTTCTACTGGATACATGTTGATAGAAGTGTACATAGAAGTAAAGCAAGAAGAGAGAGAGAGAGAGAGAGAGAGAGAGAGAGAGAGCGAGAAAAAATCAATGTTGATCATCTCTTTCTGTTGCCTGCCTTTGCCGTAAGGAGTTGAAAGTAATATTTGGTGTTTCCTTTCTTTTCACTTAAACACCTGATGGTTGTTGGTAATGATAGTTAGTCACTGTCGTCAGCTACGTCGTATCAACTATGTCTGGTCATCATTATTATTATTATCGTCGGTGTTTTTCATTGAAACGAACGAGTGAATTTGCTCAACATTGGTTTCGTGAACGTACATCATCCTTATCACGTCGACATCAATCTCTCAAACGTGATACTTCATCGACTACTGATATCAGTCAGAAGGTAGTTTTGTTGTTATTGTTGATAGTTGAATGATTGACATTAAGGATATATGTATATATTGATGTTTCTATACATATCTATTGATAAAATAGATTAAAAAAAATTCTAAAATGATTTCTATTTGTAGAACATTGGCCAGAGAATGGCCAAAAAAAATTATGATCTTCTATTTAAACTATTATTAATTGGTGATAGTGGTGTTGGCAAAGTGAGTAATTAAAGAAATAAAATAATATCATGAATTATTTTCATTGATTTTTTTTTTGTATTTTTAGACATGTATTTTATTTCGATTTTCTGATGATTCATTTAATGCTTCATTTATTTCCACAATTGGTATCGATTTTAAAATAAAAACAATCGAACTTAATGGACGAAAGATTAAATTACAGATATGGTAAAATGATCATTCGTATCTATAAGCTATAAAAAATTTTGTTAAATCTAACAATAATAAAAAAAAAAGAACCTATATAATAGAGTTATGTATTTTCTAAATAATCTTATAACAAATAGTAATATGCAGTTATTAAAAAGAAAGTAATAACAATAGACTTGTACATGAATATGTATTGGAAAAAAACGAGACTGATAAAGATAATCATCTTTACTGATATATCATGTTACATGTTATACAATCAAGTGTTTTTAGGTAGAACTTTTCAAATAATTTTTTTTCTTCTGTAGGGATACTGCCGGTCAAGAACGATTTCATACAATTACAAGTAAGATTTATTGAAATTTATTTTAATACCTGTCGGTCTTAAAGAGATATACAACAAGATCACATTATGAAAGATTAAAAATACAGATAAAGAGTGTAAGATATGAGAAAAGAATATTCAAAAACTAAAATGTTAAAAGCTTTCGAAACACTCTATATAACATAGTTAGTCGTTTTTATCTAGCGATACTATTAAGTCTTTCCTGCCGTGCCATGTCGTCCATCTTACAGTCAATACAAACATATCCATATGGTGTACGAAACATTTTGACCTTCGTAGACAACAAATGTTTGAGTCACCTTCATACCATCTGGTTCTGTGAGCATTTAGTAATAATTGCTCTAGTAACAGTCGTCAATTGAGTGATTTAGACAGAATTTTAAGATATTTTTCCCAATAGATATAACATATATCATCTACTGAATGTTTATCATAAGTAGATGCAAAGAAGAGATCATCTTAATAATTGCAGCGTAATATTTATTTAAGACATGTATCGTAACAGTGATTAAGTCCAGACTGTTGACAGCTGGCGAGCAATGAGTAGAGAACGAACAGCTTCGTAAAAAAAAACAGAAGAACGAATGTAGAAAACAAGGCATGTCGCAGAGTTACTGAAGAAGTACCATTTAACTTTATTGAAATTGATTAAGTCTATTTGTTGACGGACTCGAAGACGAGTTCATCCATCCTAACTTGCTTATTAACTAGTAATTGAGATACTTAAATGATAAAATCCATTTCCATTCGATATTGAAGCTTTTACATCGAAGTATCGGCGCATCAGATTCGAGCAGTTGGGATGGTACACAGGCAGAAAAGATAGTCTGTGTTTGTTTTTCAGTAATTAGTGAATTGCACCTGCCAATATCGAATATTTTCTTTTTTTATATATAATTTTAGCATCGTATTATCGTGGAGCAACGGGAATAATGCTTGTTTATGATGTAACACAAGTTAGATCATTTGAAAATATTAATAAATGGCTACGTAATATTGATGATCATGCATCTGATGACGTTGTTAAAATGCTTATTGGTAATAAATGTGACATGGACGATAAACGTTGTATTACTCGAGCACGTGGTGAAGCATTAGCACGTGAACATGGAATACCATTTCTTGAGACATCAGCAAAAAATAATATTAATATAGAAAAAGCTTTTTTCGAAATGTCACGACTTGTATTAAATAAAACTCCATTAAATTCATCTGAATCAACAATCGGAGGATCGATTGGTGTATTACAAGGAAATAAACCAACAAATCAATCGAACTGTATGAATTGTATGTAAAATGAATTGAATGGAAATATCAATCAATCATCAGTCACCAAGTAGAGAAAATTTATTTGTCTTATTTGTCGTTAACGTCGCATTTTTTTCTCTTTATCTGTTGTTGATTCTATTTCTCTCTGTCTCTCTTTAAACAGGAGTGATCGCATGTGTAATTTTCTTTTTTTTTTTGTTGGACGGTATTTGAATATATTGAATTAAAAAAAATAATACATTCACAGAGGAGGGAGGATGATGAGTAAATTGAAGTAAATATTAAAATTGATACTGTGCTACTTAGAAATATATACTCTGACAAGTATCATTATATGATTAATATCATATTCTATGTAATTCTCATAAAATCAAGAATTAAGTGATGTTATATTGATTAAATCTCATCTAAATTATGATAATCATAGAAAATGATAATATCAATGATTTTGAAATAGATTATATTATGTATATGCGAAGTTATTTAAAGAACAATTTAAAAAAAAAAGGAATATATATATATTAAGAAATCGGTCTAATTTGTGTCATTGACCGATGAAAATAAAGTTTGATAATATTTCTTATATCACGATCGAGTATAAGTGTAGCAATTTTTTCAATTGCTACTGTCAACGATACTGTAACAATACCAATTCCATATAAAATATGAATATTAGTTAATATATAAAGTATCGTTGGTATAGCACCTAATGTATATATAGCAAATAAAATCATAATATTACGTAAAACTTCAAGATCACGATTTGATTGTCTTGTTGTTGTCATCATAAATACTCTATATTTAGGATGTTTAATACAAACATAAATATAAATATGTATAGCAAATATTAATATTGCTGGAATTAAATAATAAGCAACAACAGTATATATTACATGCAAAGTAAATTTTCTCGGTACCCAACAAAGAGCAAATGGACGATAATAAATATGGTTAGTAAGAAGTGCTGGTAAAGGTATTAATAAAACTATAATCCATTGAATACAAATAAGAATAATATGAGTTTTAAATGAAACGATCCATGAATATTTAGCTGAAAGAATCGAAATAAAAAATCGTGATGTAGCTTGGGCTAAATAAGAATACAGAACAGCTGCAACTGCCATATAACCAAAATATCCACGCCATCGACATGATGAATCATGTATTTCCCATTGAATAAATAAAAGAAAAACATAGTTAACACATTGTACTATACAATAGAATATCGATGAAATAGATGTATT